TTGAAACTGGATCGAAACATCACTTGCATTATATCTGTCAAGACTATTCCCAATTAACCAAGTTATAGACACAAGCCCACTGGCTGCTGATGGACTCTTAGGGACTCAAAGGGATGGTGGGTTTTGATCCTTTGCTTGGAGAAGCAGTTATAACATGGCATCACCTCCCTTAGTTATCTTCACCACCACCCAAAAATATATTACAGCATATTTCTTTACTATGGATTTCCCTGTTGAATAAAATAAGGCGCAATAAGTTATCCTGCAGGACTGAAAAACATATTCCTGTGCAGACATTGGTCACATTTGAATCATGGGAATACCACCTATTCCTTTACAGCTGTGTGTGAGGAACGGCTAATGAGGAGGAAGTCCTGCAGCAATAAATCCAACACTGAACCTCCAGAGTCCTCATAATTGTTTCTGTAATGCTATTAACTAGGCAACTGTGTTAGGCTTGATGATGCAAACTATCTGCCTCTGAATAACCCATAAACATTAGTGAGGAATAAAACAGTTATACAAGGTAACATAATGTAATAGTGTTGAAGCACTCAGACTAGTCAGATATTTTATGTGCATGCTGTAAATGTACAAATGGTTTATAGTCTTACTCGATCCAAATGTTCAGAACAGTAATATACATCCCAAAACTTATGGAAATATGGTACTAAAACTGTGGAATACATTATGCCTATAATATTAAATGGATCAATGTGTTTGTTGCATAAAAATAGTCTGTCACTTAGGGGACTATATATGATATACACAAATGGTTTGTTTGTACGATTATTCCCTGGCTATCTTATTACATGACATAATTAGGTGGTTTTGGACTTGTAGATCTGCTAATACAAGACACTTTTGCCTTCCAAGCATTCATCAAATCTGAACAACACATCCTTTTATTTCCTATGATATACACATAAGCATTTTATTTTGTTTGGACAATATTTATTACAGATTCTGATGGATTCTTTTCCTCCCACTGAATCAACAAATTCAGCTTTTGTGATTGAGTCCCACATAAAGCTCTGTTTTTATTTGTTTTGGTGTGTGTGTGCATGTGTCCTTCTCTCTTTCTCTAAACCTGATGATGGATATTTTTCTGGTTCAAATTCTTTCCCCCCAACTCACCCATCTGTTTGCCTCTTGGCATCACTGGGTCCCACTGCATATCCTGACCCTTGCCTTGGTTCTGTGCTGACCTATCTTCTGACCTTAACTCTGCCTCCAGGGTCCTGATTTCAATAAGCTTTGCAAGTGCTCAAAGCCTCCCAGCATTTGATCCATTAATAACTCTGGCAAGATTTGTGATTAAGTGTGCTGAGCTGACCTGCCTTTCACTTGCTTGTTAGACTTTTGATAGCAAAAAGCTTATCATCTTTATTAGGAACATAGGGATCCCTTCATAACTCTATTATCCATGTTGCTTATAAGTTACAGATAACCTTCTTTAAAGAGAAATTCACAGATCAGTTCCACAGAATTATTTTTTTTACATGGAAGTCCCTCTTGCCATCACTCAAAGGCTCCATGTCTCTGCAATCCTCCCTCCAGCTAAAGAGGGCTAGACACAGCTTGCTCTGGAGCCTGTCAGTTCCACTCCATGTGTCAGCCTCAGGGGGTCAAATGAGACATGTTCTCTTCCTCCAGAGTCTGTAGCCTCCAGCGCTTGCTGTTATAGGAGCAAAGGAGGAGCCCAGCTGGGCTGTCCTCAGTTCTATAGTTTAACACTATAAATAGCCAATGTTTCTCAGACAAGCTTGTCAATTTATTTCACATGTCATTTAATAACTACAACTTACTATACGTCATAATTCTGTTTAAGTTGTGGAACTGCTTCACGGGTCATCAGAAACGTGGGTTTTGTTGCCATGCGGGACTGTGGATTCAAAAATAGCTTCCAAAGTCTATAATCCTGGCCTGATGCCTCAATATTGTTCTATGTCTTTGTGGGAGACGTAAAACACCCTCTTCCAACTGACAGATGGTTTGACTCAGAATTTTGGGGAGCCCAATACCCCATCTTTCTGGTTGCAGAAGTGGGCTTGAAGTAAGGATATCCTGGTTCTATTCTCAACTCATCCACTAACTTTTGTGTAATGTGAGCAAGTCAATTGGGTCACCCTTTTTTAAAGTAACTATAGATTTGGGGTGCCTCCATTTTTAGGGTGGCCAACTGAAGACACCTTGGCTCTGATCTGGAGTGCTAAACGCCCATAACGCCACTGAAAGTGAGAGAAGTGTTCAGCACCTTTTAAGAGATGTACTGGGTGATAATACTTATGTACTCTTGTAACATACTTTGGTATCTGTGGCTCATCCATTTTTATTTCTAAAGTATGTCACACCAAGAAGAGCAGAACTGGTGTTAACAGTAGAGTCAGTGCAAGACTGGAATAAAGAGGAGGTGGGTGAAGTTGGGATGATCTGGCACCTTAAGGGTAGCGGTGCCTAGGAGTTAGTCCACCCCGCATGTGGCATGCTCCCTTTAAGATTTTGGGATGTCTAAAATACAGGGACCTAGGAGACATTGTCAGAGAGAAAATGGTCCAGAGACGAAACAGTGTTTGGGAAGAAATCCCATTACCGTTCCTCTCAAGGCCTTGAACTAGGAGCCTGGCAGAGTGAGCAGGACAAGACTCTGCTCTCTCCCAGCTGACTAAGCTTTAGGAAGGGGACTAGCATATATGCTGCTCTTCCCTCACAGGAGGAGAAGGCTGCCTTGCTGAACCCAACCCTCTGAGCTTGGGATGTAGTTAGCGGGGAAAGGAACCAGCTGGGATAGCTCAGTGGTTTGAGCATTGGCCTGCTAAACCCAGGGTTGTGAGTTCAATCCTTGAGGGGGCCATTTAGGGATCTGGGACAAAAATGGGAGATTGGTCCTGCTTTGAGCAGGGGGTTGAGGTCCCTTCCAACCCTGATATTCTATGATCCTATGAAGGAGAAGCTGGCTAGGTCCTTCAGCTGACCTAAATTGCAACTTCACCTCTGAGGAGGAGAGCAGGGGGACTCCTGCATTAAAGGGGGAGGGACTGGCTGTCTGAAGTGCAATTCTAGCAGGAAAGCTGAGCTGTTTGAGGGAGAAAGTTATTATCTGCCTGATCCACAACCCCAGCTTTAGGAGAAGTGCTGGCGGGACTCCTGTCTTGCAGAGGGAAACTAGAGGGGTTGTGTGAAATACAGCCTCGTGGCTGCTAGAGAGGCGAGTTGCAGTGCGCAGGGAGCTCCTCAGCAGCCAGCTGTGAGGAGCCACAAACTCATGGTGGGAACAGCAGAGTCTGCAGACCAGTGTAAGATGCTGATAAGCAGGGAGAGGTAGGAGTGGCTCAGGGAAGTGGTGAGGGATTGAAGGAAGCATCCTTAACCACCTAAAACAGGATCTATGGGCTGGAACCCAGAGAAGAGGCGGGGCCTGAGTTCTCCTGCCTCTGACCCAGACCAAGTGAGCACGTACAGCCTTCAAGAGCAAAAATGATGAGCCTCAGATGGGGACTGAGGATCTGTTATAGAGTCCGCTAGACTGTAGGTCTTCCTGAAATTTTTTGGACCCTTCTATTAACTGCAGAAGGGGACTGGACTGAGAGGTGACCTGGCCAGAGAGCTAAAGAGGCTTGAAGTAGCAGACGCTTACAGAACAAGGTGGACAGACAAGGGTGTGTTATACTGGCAGAACCCTGCCATTCAGAGTCCTGGCACAAGAGGCTGCTCTGGCAGCGAGTATTCCCTATGACGTAGGACGAAGTTCAAATGTGTATGGTGTACCATGCTACAAAGAAGTTAAGGGCTGGCCGCATTTCTGAGTACTAGAAGAATGAGGGAAGTAAGACAGCTAGTGGTGATATGTCATTTATTGTGCTAATGTTTGCCTTGGGAGTGCAGCAAAACAGCAGCTGCTCATACTCCATCAAATGAGCACATACACAGCTTGTAGCTATGAACTCATGATCACTGCTTCTGTGGGAAGCACTGAGCATTACTATGTGATATTCACACAGCAGAGTGTATTCTCTCATTACCCTTCACATGAGTCCATGTAATGTAGCAATTTTTTTTATTTTTTTGTTTTTGTTTTTAAAAGTACATAGCACATACACATTCCAGTAACTCATGTCGGCAATGTGTATGTAATTCCTGGGTGGCCTGAAGGATTGGTAGTACCAATGTGACAATAGAAACAAGAGACCGAGCCTGGCCTCTGGTATCTCATTACTTGGTCTTAGCTGTATTGGCCAGGTAACTTAGGTGGACTTCAGGGTGAGAGAAAAGTGGATGACAGTCCTTGACTGCATGCGGGCTATTTGCTAGATGATTCGAAGTATTTATACACAACTCATACAATTCTTCATACAAAGGTTCTCTAAGTACATGCTAAACTGCCATTTAGTGCTGCTTTGTCACTTCTCATTCCCCCTCTCTCCATAAAATCTAGTTATGGACAGTGCATGCAGTGCTAGTCCCCAGTTGGTGCTGTACAAATAAACTGATAATTCACAGTTCTGTGACACTGACTTTAAGACTGCATAGCCATTTGGCGAAAAGAGAACTCATGGAGTGAATGGAAATTAGGTGAACAATAGAAAGGAAATTACACTTAACCTTTTGGCATTCAAATATGATTCTCCCGGTTCCTGATCCTAGTCAATTCCTTGTTATTGTAAACAGGGACCCATTTGATGATGATTGTTTCTAGTGGAGTTCTGCAGAGATTTGTGCTTGGCCCTATGCTATTTAACATTTTTATCAATAACCTGAGAAAAAACATAAAGCCATCACTGATCAAATTTGCAGATGACCACTGTGGGAATACCATGTCCAGTTCTGGTGCCCTGCGATGGGGTGTACAAACCCCACACTGGAGAGCAAGGGGTTAACAAACAGCTCAGGGCCCAGGAGGTTCTGCCCAGCCACATCTGCAAAGCCTGTACAAGCTGGAGGCAGGGCTTTACAAAGGGGAGTAGAGCAGCTCAGAAGGAGGCAGCTGACAGGAACAGAGGGCTGCTCTGAGCTCTGAAGGGAAAATACTACCCAGGAACTCATTGTCTACAAAGAAGAGGCAGGCAACTGAGACTGCAGGCCAAAGACTTGATTAGAGTGAGTTACATCGGGAAGCTAAAGGGGACTGGGTGTGGTCCATGGGAGGGCAGTGGCTTAGCACTCCAAGATGTCGAGTGTAGCTGCCCACTGTTGGACCCTGGACTGGAACCTGGTGGAGACTGCAGGCCCGAGAGAGCATTACCACACCAGGAGTCTTCACCTAGGTGACAGACCTGCTGGAAAAGACCTTGACTGTTCCAGAGCCTAGCCCCAACAAAGTCTCTATGCTAAAGGAGAGGATTGGTAAGCCTTGGGGCAGAGGCACTGAAGAACTAGACTGTGCTTTAAACAGGGAGGTGCTCTGCCAAAACCCAGCATAACCATTAGGTGGCACTGTTGATGATTGTTGTGCCTTCTATATGCACACAATTCAAAAAGACTTGATAAATTAGAGCAGGTTCAGAAAAGTGCATGAGAATGATTAAAGGGTAGAAAATGTGCCTTATAGTGACAGATTGAGCTCTTTCAGTCTATTTAGCTTAACAAAGAGGTGGTTAAGGGGTGACTTGATTAGTCTGTATGTACCTATGTGAGGAACAAATATTTGATAATGGGCTGTTCAGTCTAGCAGAGAAAGGTCTAACACACTTCAACTTCCAGCCATTTGATCTAAACAAATTCAAATAGAAATAAGGTGCACATTTTAAACAATGAGGGTAATTGACCACTGAAACAATTTACCAAGGGTCAAAGTGGATTCTCATCACTAGAAACTTTTAAATCAAGATTGGGTGTTTTTCTAAAAGATCTGCTCTAGGAATTATTTTGGGGGAGTTCTGGGGCCTGTGTTATACAGGAGGCCAGACTAGATGATCACAATGGTCCCTTCTGACCTTGGAATCTATTAATCTGATGGCACTCTTAGGTGAGTGGCAAGGCAGAAGTCTACCTGATTGCCTTGTAGAATAGTGTGTGAACAGCGTATAGAAACAGTGCAGTCTTTCTAAGCATGGATTTGCATCTGTGCAAAATTTTTCATTTGACAGCATGTTCCCACTATCACAAATGTCTGATCACCACTCATTTAACAATATTTTTATTGCTTCTGCATAAAGACTTATAAAGCACAATGCAAAGGAAAGAGTCCCTGTCCCAAATAGCTAATGGTGTGAGGACCAAATTGCAGCATTTAGCCACTGGCCCACAGACGGGGAAATGCAGAGCTATTCTACCCTCGAGGGAGCTCAAGGAAGCACAGTCTCTCCTCAAGACACCTGGTGTGCAAGGGTACTGTACATTCTGTAGTATCCTAAATGATGGTGCAGGTTATTCCCCTAGTGCACGTGGCTGGCTTCACAGGCTGATACCTTCATCTGCTCCTTTCTGCCCCCTCTGAGGCAGTGTACAGGAATGGAGGTTGTTTGTAACTCTGAACAAAACATTGTGGTTGTTCTTTCCAAAGTTTACAACTGAACATTGACTTAACGCAGCTTTGAAACTTTACTCTGCAGCAGAAAAATGCTGCTTTTAACTGTCTTCATTTAAATTAAACAAGCACAGAAACAGTTTCCTTACCCTGTCAAAATTTTTTTAAACTTTCCCTTTATTTTTTTAGTAGTTTCATTTAATACTATACTGTGCGGTATAGTTGTTTTGGGGTGGGGGCTGGCTCTGCTGCTGCGCTGCCTGATTGCATACTTCTGGTTCCAAATGAGGTGCGTGGTTGTGGTAACTCTGGTGTTCATAACTCAGAGGTTCTATAGTATACCCCAGGTATGTTCCCTGTGATCTAGTGTAGGGATTACCTAGGAATTACCACATAGGTTAACTTCTGTACCACCCATGGTCCAGCTAGCTCAATATCTTGTCTGACAGTGGCCAGTATGATGCTTCAGAGGAATGTGCAGAAACCCTCAGTGGACTTGTTCATAAGGAAACATCTTCCTAATCACCATCAGTTGATAGCTGGTTTATTCCTCAGGATGTTGAACTTAATTATATTGTTGTCACAGCTTTTAGGAGCTCGCTATAGCTGCTGGTTGCACCAACTCCTGTGTGTTTTAGGACTAAATTGAGACTAGCCTCTTCTCTGGAGAATGCAATTGGGAGAGGCCTTTGCATGTGGTGGGACATGCTCCTCAGATATGTTTCCTCCATGCTTCACTCTTGTGCAGCTATGGAAGAACCGGTCCCAATCTGGCCCTATGAAGAGAAGCAGCAGGTGACAATAAACACAGAGAGGAGCTGGGCAGGTGGGCTGAGGCAAGGCTGAAGACAATAAGATCATATGGCTGCTCAGAAGAGTAGTGCATTCCTCTTTGGGCTTGCAGGGCTTTTTGTTATATAACAAAGTATATGTAACGCTCATAGTGCTGTAGGGCTGACAGCAATTATTCTTTCCTAATGAAGTCTCTCTTTCACTAATTTGCTAGAAGTGATTTCCAGCAAAGATGCACATAGGCTAGCTAGGCTAGAGGATGTGCAAGGAGCACTTTCTCAGAAAGAAGTAGGCTGAGTTTTCCCTGAGATGGGAGTATGTTAGTGTAACCATGGTTAATCATTTCACATACTCTGTCTGCACATACATGTGAGTACAAAGAAATCTAATATTAAACCGCAGGACTGTTTCCTAGGACCTTACCATTCTGCAGCTTCCTGGAACACTTCTCTAATATAGTACCGTATAAACAGGATTTGGGCCAAATCATCCACTCCTTACTAAGGCAAAACCATTATCACTGTAACACAAATATCAAACTTCCAGATAAAACCTCAGGAGAAATTCAATAGATGGGGGCTAGATAGTTCCCTGGGGGTCTGATACAACTTCCATTGAAATTATTATGAATCTTTCAGTCAGCTTCATTTGGACTGGGAGTGAGAATTAGCCCTGCACAGTTGTGCAGTGAGCCTTCCTCTTATCCCTAGGGGACCTGTGCAGACGCCAGGCCCAGCCACTGTTGTTGCACATAAAGACCAGGAAACTAGGTACCCCACTGCTTCTAGGGCGTCTTAAGAGCAGTGTAAGTGTGCTACTATCATCTTGTCCCCACCCCCTTCCACTTCCACACCAGCTAGGCCAACAGAGGAGGTGTATATGAGGAGAGGGGGTTATTTTACAGTCTTTTAGAGGTGAACCAGCAGCCACTGTTGTGTACTCTTTCCCAACGGTATTCTGTTTGTCTTGGACACAGTCCCTCAGAACTGCTGCTGGTGTACAATCCCTCCTCCACCTGAATGTGCATGGTAGCTTCAACTAACACTCTAGGCCTCTGTCCTCCGTGGGAGGTTTTCTTGAGGAAAAGTACAATAGGACTTGTTCCTTTTATAGTGTGGCACATATGACCTCAGTTGAAAGAGTAAAGTGGGTGGGGATTAGACCTTGCCAAGCTTGTGTTCTCTTTCTGTAGAAGTGATCTTTTCTGCTGTCTCTTTTTAAATATTTGTAGCAAAATCTAAAGTTCCCACCTATTTTGGGAAATAAAAGTGCTACCAGGCCAGCACTCTGGTCCATGTCACAGCTGCTCGGTCTCTCAAAGCTCAAAAATCAAATTTCAGTTAGTTTTTATCTTGGATATATTTTTAATTTCACTTAAACTAGCTCTTAACAACATTTCACAGACTGAGAAAATATGTGCGATTAAATATGATGATTTGGAGTCATTTAATAATTTACTTCTATTTAGTCAGCAGTTGAATGTTTTCTTAGCTAATTTTATTAGGAAGCCTCAGGTCTTTATGTATGTAACAATAATGGGCTAATTCTTCCAAATTTTACTCTTATAAGGAGTCCCCATTGAATTTGGTGGGACTGATCACATGGCTAAGGTTTATAAGATTTCCGTTTTTGCTAAAGACAAATTACTGATGCCACTTTACTGAGCTACAGGATTAGGCCCTTTGTAATGTTTTAGTTGTGATTTTCATATAACTTGAGACCCTTGGCTGTGTTTGGCTTTGGGTTTTGTTATAATATTCAGCAAAACATCTAAACTAAAAAAAGTCATAAATACACCAGAACTATAAGCTTAGTAGAGGATAGAATGACCTAGAGGATTGGTAATGGTAGGATATTGAGCCTTTCATCTCTTGGGCATGGAGATGAACCTGGCCCACGCTAGTGCTGGCTGAATGCCTTACCAGGGACAATCAAAGTCTGTGACAATTTTGGCAAGTTTCTCCTTTAAAAACAAATTAAGGAATTTCTGCAATTGTTTTACTTAAAAACCTGGGATGTCAGTGAAGGGGGTTTGTTCATATCCTCAAAAGATTCTCTAACCAGTGGATGTGCTGGATCTCAAGTTCAAAAATCTTAGCTGTCTAAATACGGTTATGCTGATGATGATGGTGTCTGATGAAGAAATATAAAATAAAGTTTTAATTAGTGTGTCCAGATAAAGCTCTATCCTGCTACCACTGAAATCAAGGGCAAAATTCTGATTGATATCCAAGAGAAGCAGGTACAGACCTATAATAACAATACACTATAGATCACAGAATCATAGAATTGGAAGGGACCTCGAGAGGTCATCTGGTCCAGTCCCCTGCACTCAAGGCAGAACTAAGTATTATCTAGACCATCTCTGACAGGTGTTTGTCCAACCTGCTCTTAAAAATCCCCAATGATGGAGATTTCACAACCTCTCTAGGCAATTTATTCCAGTGCTTAACCACTCTGACAGTTAGGAAGTTTTTCCTAATGTCCAACCTAAACCGCCCTTGCTGCAATTTAAGCCCATTGCTTCTTGTCCTATTCTCAGAGGTTAAGAACAACAATTTTTCTTCCTCCTCCTTGTAACAACCTTTCAAGTACATAAAAATAGTTATCGTGTCCTCTCTCAGTCTTCTCTTTTCCAGACTAAAAAATCCCAATTTTTCAATCTTCCCTCATAGGTCATGTTTTCTAGACCTTTAATCATTTTTGTTGCTCTTCTCTGGACTTTCTCCAATTTGTTCACATCTTTCCTGAACTGGACACAATAGTCCAGTTGAGGCCTAATCAGCACGGAGTAGAGAGGAAGAATTACTTCTCGTGTCTTGTTTACAATACTCCTGCTAATACATCCCAGAATGACGTTTGCTTTTTTTGCAACAGTGTTACACTGTTGACTCATATTTAGCTTGTGATCCACTACTCCTTCCTAGGCAGTACTCCTTCCTAGGCAGTCATTTCCCATTTTGTATGTGTGCAACTGACTGTTCCTTCTTAAGTGGAGTACTTTGCATTTGTCCTTATTGAATTTCATCCTATTTACTTCACACTATTTCTCCGATTTGACCAGATCATTTTTAATTTTAATCCTATCCTCTAAAGCACTTGCAACCCCTCCCAGCTTGGTATCAACCACAAACTTTTTAAGTGTACTCTCTATACCATTATGTAAATCATTGATGAAGATATTGAATAGAACCAGAACCGATCCCTGCAGGACCCCACTCGTTATGCCATTCCAGCATGACTGTGAACCACTCATAACTACTTTCTGGGAACGATTTTCCAACCAGTTATGCACCCACCTTATAGTAGCTCCATCTAGGTCAGGGGTCTCAAACACACGGCCCGCGGGGTTATTTCCTGCGGCCCCGCCAAGCCCCCTGTGCCCCACCCCCACCCTCCCAGAGTTGTTTTCTGTGGCCCACCAAGCTGCCCGCCCTCCCAGAGTTATTTCCTGCAGGCCGCCAAGCTCCCCGCCCCCCCCCGCTTCCGCTCCCCCTCCCCCCCAGTGCGCCGCATCCCCGCTCCTCTGCCTACCTCCAGGCGCTTTCCAGGAGGGAGGGGGCAGGAGCGGGGAGCTGCGTGCTCAGGGGAGGAGGCGGGGCAGAGGCGGGGATTTGGGGAAGGGGTTGGAATAGGGGCAGGGAGGGGGCGGAGTTGGGGTGGGGACTTTGTGGAAGGGGTTGGATTGGGGGCTGGGAAGGGGTGGGAAGAAGTGGGGCAGGGATGAGGCCTCATGGAAGGGGTGGAGTGGGGGGGGCAGGGGCAGAGGGGGTGGAGGGTATCAATTATTCGGCCTTGGGCAATAGAGCAGTGCAGGGAGCATGCAATATAAAACAATACTTACTCCCCCTTGAGAAGGAAGCTGGAACACAAGATGCAGCTGAAGCGGTGGCGGGGGGGGACGCCCCAGGGGGATTGGATACTTTAAAGTATCATAGCTAAACAACTTTGTTTTGTGTGTGTGTGCGTGCATGTGCATGTGTGAAAAAGTTTCCAGACAGCTAATGCATTGGCTGAAAAAGAAAATGCAGTTTTGGGTTGAACAAAAGTATTAAAGAATTAGACGCTAATTTGCCAAATACTATTGCCCGAGCAGTTTTTGACCTAGATTCACAAGAGGACTTAGGTATCATGCTACCACCAATGATTTTGTGATCACCCCAGTTCTAACACTCATTTGGGATGTAGGGGGCTAGCGTTCAAGTCCCCACTCTGCCTGATTTGAACTTGGGTCTCCCCGGTGCTACGTGAGTGCCCTAACCCCTGTGCTGTAGTGTATTGTGGGCTGGATGGGTCAGTCTCTTTTGTTGAAGTTGTTCCACTTTTCATTGAAATACTTGAAAAATCACTGGAGCAGTGACTGGAACCTGGGGGTCAGCAAGTGAGATGAAGAGAGCCTTGTCCTAGAACATCCAATAGCCTGGAGGTTAGGCCACTCATGGGAGACCCATGTTCAAGACTCTGCTCTAGTGTAGGGATTAAAATGTGAGTCTCCCATGTCACAGGCAAGTACCCTAGGCTATGGGGTAAACGGGCTTCTTGCCCCCATCTCCTTGCTTTTGTGAATATAGTCCAAAATTTCACTTTCTTTTATTAATGAATAAATAAAAGCCTAAAATGTTCTGTTTGGGGTCCAACATGTTTTGTTCAACCCAAAACAAATGTTTTCCAGCTTCTTGATTCACTGAAAAACTTCAGTTTCATGTTCACCAAAACCCAATAGATAGTTTTATATCTTTGGAACTGCCAGCGATCTGACAAATCAGTTATTTGACCAGCACCTGTCATGACTGCCCTGATGCTTCGCTCCAGGGAGCAGTGCAGGGAGCATGCAGTATAAAACAATACTTACTCCCCCTTGAGAAGGAGGCTAGAACACTAGATGCAGCTGTGGGCAGGTCTCCGCAGGGCTGGGACACAGAAAACAAAATACTGAGGCTTGGTCTCCACTTAGGGTTGCCAGTTTTGATTGGATGTATTCCTGGAGGTTTCATCACATAATATAATCTTTAATTAAAGATTAATCTTTAAGATGGCAACCCTATCTATGCTATTCTGATGTAAAATCTTTATACTACAAACCGTGTAACCAATATTCCTGGTGTCTCTTCCTCTTTCTGTCTCTACTTTGTACAGACACTGTGTCTGGCAGGCTCTGTGCAGCTGTCCCCGTTGAGGTTTGGCAAAACACTTTGGGAGTTAGTATTTTGTTTTTCGCCACTCACAGCAGCATCTTGCCCACCTCCCATCACCCGGAGAAACGAAGTGAGAGGCTCTACAGTTTGTTGCAGAGCACCAAGAGACTCAACTTAGCCAAAACAAATGGTTCCTCCAGTTTCTGTAAGTAATATGCTGCCTGGGTTCTGACTATAACACCAAAACATGCTGATAAGGACCGACCGGGCCGATGCTAATACAGCAGCTGTTCCACAGTCGCTTTTTGCGGCTCCCGCCTTTCTAGTTGTACTTGTTTTTAACACTTTCTGTAAGTGTCAGGGGTTGGAGCCTGCTTTATATCAGAGCTGTCAATTAATCGCAGTTAATGCACCCGATTGATGCAAAACAAATTAACTAGATTAAAAAATAGTTGTGATTAATCCGTTTTAATCACACTGTTAAACAATAACAGAATACCAGTTTAAATTGATTATAGATATTTTTGGATGTTTTTCGACATTTTCAAATAGACTGATTTGTGTACAACACAGAACAAAGTGTACAGTGCTTGTTTTGTTTTTATGACAAATATTTGCACCGTAAAAAAATAAACGAAAGAAATAGTGTTTTTCAATTCACCTCATACAAGATCGCTCAGTGCTCCTTCTTGTTCAGCCAATCATGAAAACAAACAAGTTTGTTTACATTTATGGGAGATAATGCTGCCCACTTCTTATTTACAATAAGTAAAAGTGAGAACCTGAAAGTGAGAACAGGCATTCGTATGGCACTGTTGTAGCCAGTGTTGCAAGGTATTTACATGCCAGATACGCTAAACATTCAAATGCTCCTTCATGCTTCAACTTGTAGACTCTAAAGGTTTACATTGTTTGTTTTTGAGTGCAGTTACGTAAAAATATTTATAATAATTCTACATTTGTAAGTTGCACTTTCATGATAAAGAGATTGCACTACAGTACTTGTATGAGGTGAATTGAAAAATGCTATTTCTTTTGTTTATCTTTTTTACAGTGCAAATATTTGCTTCAAAAGAACACTGGGAGGATTGCGGGTTACATTGCAGCTTGGGCACCTGTGGAATACTGGAGATGTGGGCAACAGGAATGAGAATTGCACGCTTAGAGCACTGATTTTTTTTTCTCTTTCTCCTTCTTACCTTGGTTGCTGATGGCTTCAGCAGCCCAAGATGGGAATACAGGTCAGGCTGTAATGGGCAGGTCTGTTTACAAATGCTTGTACTTGCCTTCAGTTCTTTCTACTGAGGACCACTACACTAGTCCTCAGTAATCTAAGGATTCATATGATGTCTGAGGGTGAAAGACAAAATTGTCATGTGCAGGGTAGGCATGGACTAATAACATAACAAGTATTTATTCCTTATCATGAAATGTTTTGACATTAGAAAAATTATTTAATTTAAATTAAGATGGTTAAAAGTAGCCTTTTTCTTCAGCATAGTAAAGTTTCAAAGCTGTATTAAGTCAATGTTCAGTTGTGATTGTTCTTTCAAAAGTTTACAATGTATATTCAGAGTTAGAGTTACAAACAACCTCCATTCCAGAGGTGTTCGTAACTTTGAGGTTCTACTGTATGTAGCTCACGAAAGCTCATGCTCAAATAAATTGGTTAGTCTCTAAGGTGCCACAAGTACTCCTTTTCTTTTTGCGAATACTGACTAACACGGCTGTTCCTCTGAAACCTATCACCACTAGGTGGCATGAACCTGATACAGTATGGAATGTTTCATGTGTCAATGTTTCAACACTTAATGCACGGCTGAACAGCTGATATCCAGTAAGTCAAAAAAGATCACTCACAAAGTCATCAAGCTAGACCCATTTAGGGATCCCACTCTATTTTGGAAAAAAAAAATCCTTACTAGACAAATAGAAAAAGAGTAATTTGTTCTGAACTAAAGTACGACTTCCTCCCTCCAAAAAAAAAAAAAACACTGCTACAATCAAGCTTCTATTCTATTCCTCTGTAGCTAAACCATTAAAACAAGTAAATTTTTCTGTCTCCTGTTCCAATGATGTGGACATCTGGGGCTGCGCCATAAAAATTAGGATTGTTGGCCCCTCTGGCTCTATTATATCCCCTCTGGTCATGTCAGTACGCCTCATTTGGTAAAACTTTGCCTTTAGGCCACAAGGGTTGTAAATTTAAGTCTCTCACCAGAACTTGGAATCCAAGCCTGCACTGATACTACACTGCAGTTCTGGGAAGTGCTAATCTCACAGAGGTAGTGCCCTTTGAATGTGATGTTAAACTGGAAGGTAACTGTCCAGATAGATGTTCAAGATCCGAAGGCACTTTTCAAAAAGAGCAAGGATAGTTTTACACCCTGGTTAATATTTCCTTTCCTCAGGGAAGTGTCTGAAGCTTTGTGCAATTTATGGCTAACTGTGTAAGGCAGTCTCTGCATGAACAGTATCTAACTTGTCACTTTAGAAATTAGTTTCGATTATGGGGTTGGACACTTCATAGCTTCTGTTGGCCAAGCTTATTGCACTCTTTTTAAGACACATTAAAAGGGACCTACCTGGCTATTGTAGAGCATTTTTTTAAGTTATAGAAATATATTCTAGTTCATTAATACAATTTCAATTTAAGGTTTTGTAACAAATTATTATTATTTATACGGCTGTGTGGGTGTGGAAGGCACTTTAAAGACACAGAAAATGACAGGTCCATGTTCTAAGAAACCTACAAGTTAAATGAGATTTAACAGGACAAGCGAACAATAAAGAAATGGCTAGGTTGAAAGGACTGCAATAGTGAACTGCCAGACTTAATGATATGGCTATATCTTGTTTCCTCTTCAGATTTTTTTAATGCATCAAATTGTGTGGAATAAGGTTTCTGGACAGCATGCACAATGAAAGCCAGGGTGGAGATTAGCAACACAAAGCTGACTGTAAAAAGTGACAGGTTTCAGAGGAACAGCCGTGTTAGTCTGTATTCGCAAAAAGAAAAGGAGTACTTGTGGCACCTTAGAGACTAACCAATTTATTTGAGCATGAGCTTTCGTGAGCTACAGCTCACTTCATCAGATGCATACCATGGAAACTGCAGCAGACTTTATATATACACAGAGAATATGAAACAATACCTCCTCCTACCCCACTGTCCTGCTGGTAATAGCTTATCTAAAGTGATGTTCATGATCACTTTAGATAAGCTATTACCAGCAGGACAGTGGGGTAGGAGGAGGTATTGTTTCATATTCTCTGTGTATATATAAAGTCTGCTGCAGTTTCCACGGTATGCATCTGATGAAGTGAGCTCACAAAAGCTCATGCTCAAATAAATTGGTTAGTCTCTAAGGTGCCACAAGTACTCCTTTTTCTTTTTGTAAAAAGTGAGTCATGTGGAGGGATTTTAAAGAGGAGTCTGAGGTTGCAGGATACATAAGATCAGAAAGGAACTTTTGTAATACTTGGAACACAACTACCAGAATTGATGCATGCTTTATTGCCTTTGTAAATTACTCTTATGCAAGATCCTGAGTCATTTGTGTCAAATGTGAATTTGGTTTGGTTTCCTGGAAGTGATGCTATGTTCTAGATGTTGTAGTGATGAGGGCTATGTAAGTTAGATTTGGTCAGAAAATGGAAGGGTGGGACGGAGGTTTCTCAGTGAAACCTGAGTTTTTGCCAAAGAACCAAAAACCTTCCTGTTTTTTGGCCCAGAAGTGACATTTTTGGGTGGGTATTGGTTCTTGGTTTTGATTCATTGATTTTTATTTTTATTTATTTATCTATTTATTTATTTTTGGTCACAGAAAGCTGATAATGTCCATGAGAATTTTCATTTAAACAAAACCCAGTTTTCCATCAAAAAAAGATTTAATGGAAACTTTTGAAAACCCCTGATATAAGTACTTGGATAGACAGAAAGTAAACATCTTATTCAACTGCAGTTTTGATTTTGATGACTGTTAATTAGTACTGATTTATTGTGCGTATCACTTCTGAGCACATGATATGCCCACACAAGCTATGCCCGGACCTTGATGATTGTAGAAAATTCTGCTTAGTGAATTTTGCAACAGCTAGACATTGTGAAAGGACTTTACCACTAAATCGGCAGGGTCTCCCCTAATCTGTGGTTAGATATGCTGGGTTTGTAATACGTCTAGAATCAAGATCCCGTTAACCCACAGGAAGCAGCATTTCCAGATGAGCTAAGAGAATTGTGCCTTGCAGAAGTTAATAATAGTAGGGGGTGGATCTTGTGCCACACCTTCATGAAGCAACATATTTTAAGCTAATGTTGAAAAATCATCCCAGCCATTTTTTAACTGGTAACTACAAATACTTATGTTGGAAATCTGGCTTACAGTTAATCAGCCAGCCAATCGGGAAAGAGAAACATACCATGTGACATGACCTTTTTGCCAAATCAAATCAGCTTGAATTTAAAACATCCAATACTCCGTACCTTTTTAATGGAGGTTGGAGTTCATGTTCCTGCATACGCCTCTCCTAGAGCCCCAGGAGAAACTCTGGCTGAGGGATTCCTAGTACTGCAGCTAGGGCCTTAAAACCACAATCCTCGCCCTTCTCGAAAAATCAGCTTATGCCTGTCCCAGTTCCACTCCCTTTTATACACCCCTCACCCCCACCAAAACCTCAGCTGTTCAGAAAATCAGCAGCACAGTGAGTGTATCCCGTATTTCTTTGTGCAGGCTTCCTGATCTATTAGACAAAATGGCTGATCTATTATTGATGGGGTTTTTGTTTTGACACATGTTTACAATTAACTTTAATCAAATCTTTGTGTAAAAACTGCCCTGTTTAGTGGATACTATTGTATTTCAGGTTTTGTTTCTTCTAAAAATACATGCAGATAGGCAATTGGAAAGCTGTTGTTTTTATTGGTATTATTTTCCTTAATGAAAATATTTTCTAATGTCAAAACATTTCATGATAAGGATCTCCGAGGTGCTACATGACACAGCTGTACTTATCATTTCCATTAACTGCTAAGATGCTGGAGCAGTATTCAAATGCTCATTTGTTTTGTACTGAGAAGCATCTCCAAACACTGGGTGGGGTTATTGTGAACCAGGCATTTTTAAATAGACCAGCCAGCCCACCCAGGAACATAAGGGAATGTTACAAGGTCAAGTCCAATTAAAGCTCTCCTCCCTACCCAAG